CATAGCTTTGTTGCTTTAAGAGACAAAGCAATCACAATTTAATGACACTGATAGCAAGAAGACAAGTCTAACTAATAAAAAATATGAAAGCAGCTTGAACATTTCCATCTCTATGTGAAGAAATCCTAAGGAAGCTTTATCCTCCAACTAGCTTCGGCAAGTGCAAACCAGAAGAGTTTAGAAAATGCATGAAATTGTGTCACGTTTGAAATTGAAACAAAGATGTACTGCAGCCAACAGATGACTAATCGTTAAAATAAAAGAAGCTATTGGCTAATCAAATGCACTTATAATGCGTATTAATGTGTCTATCAATCTTGGAACAAATGCTAGCCTCTGAATAACATCTTCAGCTCTACAAACAATGCAGAACAACAACAACAACAAACCCAATGTAATCCCATGAGTGTGTCTGGAGAGGGTGAAATGTACACAGAGCTTACCCCTACCTTTCTGGAGTAGAGAGGTTGTTCCCGATTGGATCAAAAGAGATGTTTTTCAAAGTAGGGTTGCAAGGAAATATGGAAACAAATAGCAACATATCCAGAAAATGGAGTAACAAATAGCAACACACATCGAAGAATCAGAAACTACGCAACAATAAAATAAAACAACAACAATGCAGAATTTAACAATTTTTGTTAGTGAGACTGACATCAATTTGGCACATGGATCCAGAAGTGGCAAAATAGGCTTTGAGAAGGAAACAAGTTGCCACCATGCCGATTAGGTAATACAACAGTTCAACAATTTGGATGTAGAAATGATATTGAACTATATTAGAATGGACATTCCAACGAGTAATAGTTGAACCCTGAACCAAAATCTTATTGATCCCTTCTGTAGATTCTACGACATGTTATCAGTTGATAGTCAGATATCTTCTTCTTTTTTGACAAAATGTGATAGTTAGATATCAGGTTCATGAAAACAATTGTTTATAACATATGTGTTGTGTTAGGATAAGAACTATGCAATAAGATTTAGACTTGTCAATTAATCATAGAATCTGTAATATCTTGATTAAACCATCGGGTTGGGCCATGATTAACCAAGACAAATAAACTTCCATCGTCAAAACAATAGTATGGGTAGAACTACACATTTCACCTAAAGCTTAAATACAACAGACATCAATAAATGAAACAACAATAAATAACCAAAAAATAAAACACATATTCATGTTTGGGTATAACCGAACTGATCAAGCATCCTATTGACATGTTGCTATATGACAGACTCAACCAACGCCCGTCAAATACACCAAAACCAGCAAACCCTTGAAATTAAATCGATCGATCAAATCAATCAGCTATTCCTCAACCTCAACTAGTTAGAGTCAGCTATATGACCCGTGCGTGTCTAGGTGGCCATATCCTTCTGCCACTGAACTATGTCTTGGGCTATGTTGCTCAGACTCTCCAAAATTATTTCCACACCCATGTCAAATTCTTTAAAACGCACCACTTTTCGAGTATCCTACACGCACCCTTAGTGCGCGATCCAGATTTAGTTGGAGCTCCAAGGTGGACTGCGGACACCGGGTGAGAAACCAGAAAAAATAAGAAGAGAAATCACTAAAAAGAGATTATTCTATTAACTATCTCAACCTTGCTCCAATACCCAAACTTCCAACCAGCTATATTTTCAAATTAAATCCATCAATGCTTAAACTAAAAAAATTACCCAAACTTAAAATAGCTTCAAATTCAATTAACCTTTATAGGAAAATCCAACTTTTATTTGGACAAAATGACAACTTGCAAGCTCCATACCTTCAAAAAGCAAAAATAAAGAATCCCCAAACAGAAATATCAAGCTGTCAATACATCAATATATGCCCATGAACATAAATCTCCCAAATCCATTAAACCAAACAAAAAAAAAACACTCAAATTTAGAACTAACCAAAATTCTTGATTAAAAACCAAACTAGAGAATCTCAAATTAGGCTTCATTTACATCTAATCCTTTCTGGGGTATCCAAAGATTGCTCCTTTATCCCAAATAACAAATACATGATTAAAATACCAAACATAAACATATCTTAATGACAAATTAAAAGATTAAACTCATGAAAATTAGCAAATTAAACAACATTTCATAACAAGAAAAAAAAAGAGTAGAAGGAGAGGAACATTACCAAATATCACCAGAATTAATGAGGATAACTTTTTTTTTTTCTCTTTTCTTGAATGTATCTTCCTGTGGGTATTCTCTCCAAAAAAAAAAAAAAGAGAAATAAACAAAAAGATACACAAAAAAATATAGGGTCACAAAATTCACTGAAAAACAAAAAGAAAAAAAGAAATGAACTGTTCCTTATAAAAGGAAAAAGAAAAAAATAGAAAAAAATGAGAAGAGGAGGTTACTGTAACACGTGGGTGGAGCCAATCCCTCTTGTTTTTTTTTTTCTCCTAAAAGGGAAATGAAATATTTTCTCTAAAATTAGAATTTTGAGAATTTCCCCCCTCAAAATTATTTCATCTAGTTTTGGTATTTTCACCATTTTAAGTAATAAGATAAAAAAAAACTTGTTTGAATGGTTGTAATCCGTTCTATTAAATTGTATTGTTAATTTAAATATAATAGTAGTATACATTTATTTTGATTTCGGGATGACCTAATAAATGATATTAATGAACTTTACAAGATTAATGTCATTTTTTCTCGAATTAAAGAGTTGAGAAATAAGAATTCAAGATTTTCTTCAAAAAAAATTGTGTATTAATTCATATTTTTTTATTATGATTGACCGACTTTGTTTAACCCTAAATTATGTGGGTTCATCTATGACGATCTAGTTAACAACACTAATAGCCTCTAATCTCTATAAGATTGGTGTCACTTGTTTAAACTCATCGTTAGGTATTAACTAGAAGTTTCATTTTATACAATGATTGATTTGGTGTGATCGCGTCATTATTTTAATTTTTTTATATCTTTTTTTTATTATTTAATAAATTATATTTTATTATTATTCTACCTTTTTATAGCAATTCTTTCTCATACATTATTTTTTTGTAGGTTTATCATTCAAAACGATGAGTGATATAATATATTTAAATATTATATTCATTAAAACAATGTAATATAATATGGTACATTACTAAACAATAAATAATAATTATCCAACTAAGTAAATGAGAAAGAGGACGGTGTATGAAACATTGCACCGACCTAATGATGTAATGTGAAATTACTACTAAATTAGATATTTTATTATTGATAATAAAATAAGCTAACAAAAAACTATTTTAAGAAAAAGAGAAATTATTAGTATATGGTTTAGAAAGGATGAACCATAAATTGGTGAAAGTGAAAGTTCACTTACGACCACTTAATCATATGGTATTGCTAGTAACTTTATGTGTAAAAAAAAAAAAAAAGTAAACAAATTGCTTATTCGATTTTGTTAAATAAAAAGTAAACAAATGGATCATGTGAATATTTTTAGTTGTACAAAAGAAGTTCACATAAACTTTTTTGTGAATAACTTTCATATGTATTACTAAGTATTTAGGTTAACTTTTTTGTGAATAATTTTCATATGTATTATTAAGTAGTTAAATCACGTGAATATGTTTTTTTAAAAATTACCTTTTTAAGTATTTAATAATTACCTTTTTCGTTACAAAATACTTGTTTCCCTTACAAAAATGTTTTAAAATCATTTCCATTTTAAAAAAAAATAAAATTCTCATTTTACTCTCCGTTTACAATATTTAATAGGTAGTACATTATTGATGAAGTTAACATAAATATTAAATACTAATAAATATTTATTGAAGAAAGATTACATAATAAAATATGTTATGAGGATAATAAAAATAATAAAAAAATGTATAAATGAAAAATACGAAAACTGTTTTAAAACGGAGGAAATAATATAATTTTATGTAAGAGAAATTGTGGTTTAAGTGTTTATTGAACCATTATTGGAAATATGTGAAGTAGAAGAATCTCTCAACTAACATTCTAAGCTTAGCTTCCATTCTTCTCTCATATTAATTAAGTATTAAGTAAATTTAAAATGTTTGTCCCCAAAATTTAATAATTTAGAAACTTAATATAAAATTATTTATTTACTACTTTTCTTAAAATAAAGACTCAAAATATTTATTTATCATTTTAATAAACCAAAAAGACATTTATTTTCTCAAAATATTACTCCTCCCTTATTACTCCAACTTGAATAGTCATTAATTACTCATTTATGAAAGGTTGGGTAGGATTTTGAAGATCTTCCAATTTTTAAAATATAGCCTCACTAAAAAAATAATTAGTGACTGATAAATCTTGTAGCTAAATAATTAAATTTATAACTAACCTTATTTAAACATAAATTAATACTGATTTATCAAAAAAAATTAACTACGAGCAATTTGACGATATAATACATGACCAATTTTTATTTTATTCTTTTTGTTGGTACCTAGTACCTACACATGCTTGCAGATTTTTCACTCCAACAGATTTACTTGTGTTATCAATTTTCAAAAATTAATTACTTTACTCAAAGGTGGAAAATTTGCTTCACTTACATTTAATGCCTCTTTTTTTAATTGACGCAAAGTAGGTCTAGATAATATTTTGCATTTAGTGCTTTTATATCTCGATACCAATAAAAAAACTACCTGATAATATTTACCGTTATAATTTATTCGATAAAATAAAATTTACTTGATAAAAGTTTATAAGCTAAATAATTCAGAAATATCTTTTATAGGGGAAAAAATTATCAAAATTCATAAATTTTGATGACTATAAAATTTGATGATGTTTTTAAGCGACAAGTATTAATTTATTTATTTTACTACAAAAATGTAAATTGAATAACCATTTGAAAAATTAAGTCGAACAAATATGAATTGAAAAATTATGTCAATAAGGTCACGCCCATAATTTTCTCTGTGCAAAATTACTAGTATATATTATGGGTGACAATGTTTGAAGGAAATAAAAAACATATAAAAAATAAAATGGGAATTACAATATTATAGTTAAAGAACCTAATAAAAAAGTTAAGCTAATCTTCTAGGATCAGTAACATTAATCCTCCAATGTTCATCTTTTAATCCCATTTCTTCTGCCTCCTTTCTACTAAAATATAATTCAATTTTCCTCTGCTTTGACAATCCACAAAATTTTTGCAAATTCTCATCCATAGTATCATGAATTTTCCACCATGTCCTATGTGCGATATCGCTAGCATAAATGCGTAAATAACCAACGTCCCAATTACAATCATAGTCTCTGTAACACACCCAAGGCTTTAATCCGAGATAATGTACTGCATAGAGTTGCGGAGGATCTGCTTCAAATAGTTGGTTCTTAGCACTGTTCAAATTTTCGAAATTCTTAAAAAAATTAACTCTTCTTGGTAACCTATGCCACCATACAAATATTTCATTAAGGAAACCTTGGTCACCTCCATTATATGAAATAATGTCTTTTGTATGTTGCATTAACATGTTGAATGTGCAATTTGATGGCTCAATTACCATTACTCCAGAATTAAATATTGATCCATCATTACCTGTAAATAATATTAGAGCATACAAATATTAAAATTAGTATATATGCAAATTTAGTAACACCCCTTATAAGAGCATACAAATATTAAGTCAAATTAAGACGCATAAAATATATCGCTAGTAAATTAAATTACCTGTGGCTGACAATTGAGGAAATTGGAAAAGAATGTCGATGTTACGTAGAACAATGATGTCTGCATCAATAAAAACAACTTTTTCATAGTCAGTAAGTTGCCATAACCTGAATTTGCTGTAATTGTACTTATTGTACGAGTTTTTATCAGCTCTAGCATTTCTTATCCTCTCTATCAATCGAAGTTTCCACCCTGCTTTTACGAGCGCGTCGCGTTTGGGTTCGGGGATAGTGTCATCCAAAAGAAGAACAAGGTCCCGTCTGGTTCCAGTTCGAAGAAGACTCTGAGCTAGTGTTATTGCACCACAAACGTATTTTCCTGAGGAATGAAGAACCGTGGCGTAGGCTTCTCTGTTTTGAACATTAGAGATGTCATACACCTTTTTCATTCCTGAAATGATAATAAATGTTACTCCATTGATTGTCAAGCATTTTGGTGTGTTTTCAATTTTTTCGATTTTTTTTTCCCTAGTTTGATGTGAAGCATCTTACAACAAAATCGAATCAAACAAGCAAAATAAGAAGATAGAAGACATGAAAGTGTAAGGTTCCTATTTAGTTGCCAGTATTTTAGGTTTTAAGAAATATTAGGTAAGTTTACCATTGTATCCTTATTTAGTATTATGTTAAAGTCAATTTTCAATAAATGAATATGAATTAATTTACTTTGATTTACTAATTTGATCTTAATTAATTTTTATATATTGGTCAAATGTATATTTTCAAGACTAATAACTTTGGGCGATGATTCTTTTTATGAGGATGAGGAAGAAAATATGTTGGACATATGCTTTGATAAAGTGGCTAGGGATGGGGATATCTCACCTCGGCATCAAAGAAGTGGAAGCAACAAAAACAAAAAGAAGACATATGGAAGGCAGCATAATTGGGATGGTAAAGTGACAAGAGAGTTTGTTCCAAGGCACCTACCGATGCGACTGGCAAAGCAGAACCATATGACAGTGTCAATAGCTTCAACAAGATCCAATACATCCAAGAAGAAGTGATGAACTATCAAGTTTTGTTGGACATATTTGAAGAAGAAGACAAGATGAAAATACTCCAGGTTACTCTAGATGGGCTATCTATCATTTTTAATTCACGCATTTGTAAAAGTAAGTTTGAGGTTGATAACTCAACTTTCTTCTTGAATTTTATATTTGTGCATTTTTCAAGTTTTCTCATTTGTAATATCATCATAGAGTGTATTACAAATTTTGGAATGATCATAGAATACCTAATTCTCTCTAGCTCTTATTTTTTTCATGCTTGTTAATTAGTAGAGGTTCGTTGCCTCATTAGGATTGACAAATGACAAGGTAAGGCCTTAGCTCCCCTTGCTTGTACTTATTTCTATTGAGGATTTTTATTTTAATAAAAAAAAAAGGAAAAAAAAAACTTTCAAAGGGTAAATAGGAAGAAAAGTGCCATTTATACATTGATTTTCTGAAATAACAAATATTAAGAAACATTTATTTTTAATAAGAACGACAAGTAAAGAGGAGCAGAGGAAGTAACATATATAACTTGAAAGTAGGATACATAACATACCTTTTTCCCTTAGAGTCAAAGCCAACTTGCAAGAACCAATTGGAAGTGAAATTTTTTGTGCCAACTTAGCCATATTTGGCTCATAATACCACCAATCTCCTTCCCTTTTCTTTAATTCTTTACATCTGAATATCTCCATCATTGGCATACATTTACTCAAGAAAATCAATTTCATCTTCCCATTCTTACCCTTTTTTCTATTGACAGCCAAATTTGCAGCCACAAGATGTACTTGTAGCCTAAAAACATCCCTTTTCCATCCTTCTTGTGGATAATTGCATGGTAATTTCACTACTATTATGTTCATGTTATTATAACCATAGAAATGTGGCATTGGTATTTCTGGACATGTTTGTCTTCTATCCATCTCTTCTAATTCTTCATCTATCTGTCCTGGAAATAAAAACGGTAAAATCAATTCATCTTTTAGTAACTCGTTTAACCTGTTCAAGTTTGAAAGAGTGAGGTTGAGACTTATTTGTTAACTTGACTTGACTTGACTCAATAGGTTGAAATCGAAATGGACTGTTAGATTATTGGACCAAAACGGGTCAAATAGTGTAATTCAACAGGTCAAAATGTAACGTCGTTCAAAAACAAAATTAAAGATCAAGAATTATGTATTTTTGAAAAAAATTTAATTAAGCTAATAATTTAAGAAAGTAAATTAGTTTTCACTTTCTTCTTTTTAACCAAAAAACAAAAGAGAAGAGGAAGAGAGGTTAGGTCACATTGGGTAGGTTGAAGTATGACCCGTTATCGGATGCTTGTTTATTGATTTGACCTGTTTAAATTTGACTCGATCTGTTCATTTGTCACGTACTTTACCTGGAAACAAATCATCCCATTCCAACAACTCTGAGACCTTCTGGAATTGTACTTTAATTATTTGGCCATGGACTCTCCATTCACTAACATCTTCATCTTCCATATTCACCATTCCTATCTTCATTCCTCTCCCCATTATTTCTTTCATAAAACTTGGCTTCTTATGTCTCATCATTTTCTTCAATATTGCATTTGTTCCATTCACCAATATTGGTTCTTCTTCCACCTACTCAATACAAGAAAAAAATAATTTAGAGCTAGATTTTTTCTCTTTTCAAATAGACATGACTACTTGTTTTACTATCTAAATAGATGGTCATTCAACTGATTAAATTAATAATAATCAGCATATCTACAATATAGATATAATTCATGTATAACATGCATATATGATATAACTGCGTATAATCAGTATATAATTTACAAGAAAAAATAAACAGTAAATCCGATCGGACTTACCTTGTGATGACATTCACAAGATGTGCATCTAATAGTAGATTTTGAATATTCATGATAAAGAGAAGATAATTGCCAGTGAAGAAGGGCAGCATAAGCAATTAAGAAACAAACCAAGAAAACTAAGTTGATTTTAATTATCAAAGCCTTTGAGGGAAAAGACTTCATAATCAGCTTTTATTTTCCACAAACCAAAATGCTAGCTACTGAAATTAAGAATTCATTTGATAGTGTAAAGAATGTAATTATATTTAAATAATTATTGTGAGTGGAGACATGAATAATTAATGTAGGTGATTAATTTATGTTTAATAGGGATTTGCTGGCAGCAAATTAGGGTAGGGAGTTTTAATTATTGTTTGCCGTAAACGTTGAGTGGTTTTATTAGTTGTATTTTATGTTGAAAACATAAAATAAAAAAAATAAAAAAAGTTGTACAATAGTATTTTTTTTAATTATAAATGTCACGTGCTGTTTTTTTTTTCTTTTTTTTTTTTAATGTCACGTGCTGAGCTCGTAAGCCTATGACAGATCCGACATTGAAGCTGCGATCCATGCTGTACAGCACGCATCAACATTATTTTAAAAAAATAAAATATATATCATCTTAGGTAAATTTATCGAGACACTCAAATAATAATCTATTCTGATTGAGTATTTGTATACATCATAAAATATATAATAAGAAATATTTTGCTATATATTTTAATAGACTATAGTTCAAATATCTAAATAATATTTACTGAATATTGATATTCAACCTTGTTATGTTCTTGTGTCGAATAAAATCCGTCATATAAAATGAAATTAATGAAACCAAAATCCAAAATCAAAATCCATGATTACTCATACTCTGTTTGGTCTCTCTTCGGCCCATTTAATTATAGGGCTCCATTAGTACGTAGGGTCTAGTGGGTTCTTTAGGCCCATTGCACTTGTTAAAGTTCTGATTTTGGAATTGGCCCATTGGCTCATATTTGGTCAAACTATCAAAAATAATTCTTTTTAAAAAAAGTTGATTTTTTTTAATAATTCTTTTTTTTTAAAAAGGAGGCAATTTATTATTTTATCAGATCATTTAAAAACATATGTTTTTGAATCATTTTCGAATAAAATCAATCTCCGGAGATCGCTTTTTGCTATCATTTCTTTTTAAAAATACTAATAGTATCTAAAGTTGTTTTTGGTAAAAAGATCTGATATATTTCTCAATTTTGTCATTTAGAGATGATATATCCCTCGTTATGAAAGTGATTCATATATACCCTTTTCCTCTAATGAAAGTGAAAAAATTAATTTTAATTTAAAAATCGACCTTTGAAGTTGGATTTTTATGATTATTTTTTAAGGACAAATTACAGAAATACACACCTTTTGTTTCATTTATTTCCATTAGCCCCTATTACTTTTTAAAATCTCCAAAATCTCTTATTTCTTTAATGTATCCGAGCTGCATATTAATGTATTCGAGACAGTATTTAATGTATCCGAGCTAGTTTTTAATGTATTTGAGCTACATATTAATGTATCCGAGCCAGTATTCAATATATCCGAGCTACATATTATGTATCCGAGACAATATTTAATGTATCCGAGCTTCAATTATTGTATCTGATTTTTTTAATTTTTAAGAAATTAATATAATTAAAAACTTATTAGAAATATATTATAATTTCATATTAAAACTATGGTATTTATGTAATTTATCCTTTTTTTAATGGAGGTCGGTTATATGAGCCTCATATAACACGGCCTGTACTATTAAGTGGGTAAAAGTAGTGACAAATAAAAATTTCAAAATTGTTTATAATGTTTATGGATTCAACATTAAAAAATTATACCAAAAATATTGAACATGCAAAAGGTTCTCTTTTTATGAATTTATTAAATATATAGCCGACAATACATCTCAGATTTGCACTCTTGGAAGCTTCTTATAAAGTTTTTGTTAATATTTGCTCATACAAAATATAAATATATTGTGTTACCTCAATTATAATGTATTCAAACAATTTTTTCAGCTGTTAGGTGCACCTAAAAATTAATTAGTTTGCTCAACTAATACTCTTTTTGTTTTTTTCAACTGATCTATCATTATCACATATGCTAATTCTTGGCCTTCACCACAATTAATCATTTAGCTATTTTACCTTTTCTTCTACTCAACAATTCTTCCAACATTAAAAATTAATATACAGTCAAATCTTTTTATAACAATATTGTTATATTTTCTTAAAATATTATCACGAAGTATATTATAAAAAGTATAATATTATTATAAAAAAGACTGTCGTATAAAAGGCTATCTGCGTATAAAAGAAGACTATAGATTTGTTTGTTGAACTTTGAAGTATATCAATCACTGCGTTGGTTATACTAGTAATCATTAAATTAATACAACAATCCATGCTCTACCAAATTCATGTTCTCTTTTAAGAAAAAAAAAAACTTATCTATCTTACATATTTTAAATAAAATATTTGATTTGTTTATTGAAATCGTTAAGTACTATAGTTGACTAATTAAGCTTAATTTAATTTGTAGTCTACCTTATACAACATTTTAATAGTCCTATCCTAATTAAAACGGAACTTAATTATTCTAAATACGACTGGTCTCATTTTATATGTTGGACATTTAATTGAACAAAAAATTTAATAGGGAAAAACAATACATCAAATAGACAAATTGAAGAGTTAAATGAAATTAAAATATTCTTAAAATTTTGAAAATCATATATTATAATTACTAAAAATGGACTGATGTATAAGTTAGAAAAAATTTATTTTGATAACTTGATCGAGTCCTTAAAGGCTACTGTTATATATTAGGCATAAAAACATGACATCCTCTTAAATTTGTTCGTAAGTATTATTTGGATACTCGAAATATGACTTGTTTCACTATATACTGAATAAATAAACATACGAAAAAATGTTCTTTATAACGGCAATAATAATTTAAAAAAAAGGAGGAGGTAGAATAGCTAAACATTTTCCATGTTCCAAAAATTAAGAACAAGCATCCTCTATATACACATGAATAAATAGTGCATGAAGGCCATGTTCATAACTCATAAGTACTCTGTGCATAAGTACTACTATATATAGTAGCATATATATTAAATGAAAAAAAAAGAAAACATTGATAATAAAAAAAAATTAAAAAAATTCAAGAAAGTTTTCTAGGATCAGTAACATTAATCCTCCAATGTTCATCTTCAAATCCAATTTTTCCAGCCAATTTTCTATCCCATTCTAATTCAATTTTCCTTTGCTCTGTCAATCCACAAAATTTTTGTAAACTCTCATCCATTGAGTCATGTAATTTCCACCATGTCTCATGCGCGATATCGCTAGCATAAACCCGTTGATCACCTATGTCCCAGTTACAATCGTAGTCCCTGTAGCATACCCATGGCTTTAACCCGAGATAATGTATAGAGTATACTTTTGGAGGATCTGCCCCGAATAATTGATTCTTAACGCTGACCTCATTCGAATTATTTGACCAAAAGTTCTTTAAGAAATTAACCCTTCTAGGCAACCTATGCCACCATACAAATACTTCATTAAGGAAACCTTGGTCACCTCCATTATATGAAATGATCTCTTTTGTACGTTTCATGAACATTTTGAAGGTGCAATTTGATGGCTCGATCACCATTATTCCAGAATTGAAGATTGATGCATCGTTACCTGCAGATGACAGATTCAAAATTTAAATATTTAAATTTTGTTTTTCACTCTTAGTGTCTTAATTCGATTATACACATGAATTTTAAGAATGCAAAGAAAATCTTTCGATCATATATATGGTCTTGAAACTTTGTGATTTTATACTATGCCATAACATTTATATACAAAAGTGTCATTAAACGTGTGTATTTTGTATTTATATGGAGAAAATATTTTTCAAAAAGTGTTTGATTTTTCAATATTAGTAAGTCAAATTTTGATTTTTTTTTTAAAGAAAATGGCTTTACTGTGGAAATAGAGATAACAAGTTCTATAAGTAACGTGCCCCGCCCCCAACCCCCTCCTCCCCATCTCCGGGCCCAACCATGCATCCATGCACACACCCGCTTTCTTTTCAAAAAAGGCTAGTAAAACAAAGAAAGTAAGACGTATAAATTGAAACAACTGGTATTACCTGTAGCGGTCATCTGAGGAAAATGGAAAAGGAGGTCAATGTTACGAAGAACGATAATATCAGCATCAATGAAAATGATTTTATCATAATCCGTAAGCTGCCATAACCTGAACTTGCTGTAATTATACTCATTATACGTATTTTTCTCAGCTCTAGGGTTTCTTATCCTCTTTATGAACCGTAGTTTCCACCCTGCTTTTATAAGCGCGTCGCGTTTAGATTCAGAAATACTGTTATCCAGAAGAAGAATTAGGTCCCGTTTAGTTCCAGTTCGAAGAAGACTCTGAGCTAGTGTTATTGCACCACAAACATATGTTTCTGATGAATGAAGAACCGTGGCATAAGCTTCTCTTGTTGGTACTTTTGTGCTGCTTTCTATTTTCGAAATATCATACACTTCGTTGATTTCTGTAATCAAAATATGTTTATAATGTGAGTTCGACAGAATTCAGTAAATTTGATCTAAATTCTATAGTTTTGTTATTGGTAACAATGAACATAAAATTGGAGGTTATATTAGTGAAGTAATTAATAGAAGGGTCTTAGCATGTGCACTAATAAATATTTGAGTTTCCACCTTATGTTCAATTAATTTGTATTATTATAAGCTTCTTGATTAGTTGAACATTGACTTCCTATGAAGAAAAAATAATAATGTTTGTATCATTTTTGTGTATTATAATTTTCATGACACGCCTTAGCCTATATTTTGTATATGCAAGTAGACATTTAATTTCTCAAAATCTACCAAACATTTTACTGACTATTTGGATAATGCTTTTTCAACCTCCTTTTGGCACCAACCACTTAAAATCAAACTTCTCACCAATAAACGTTATACACACCGTTCGTTATTGTAAAAGAATATTTTACGCTATCATATCACTCAAAAAATATTTATAGATTAAAATTTTTTTAAATATGTAATTTTTAATCATGAAAATAGAATAAGTTATCACTGCAACAAAGAAAAAAAATGATTCGATTGTATAAAAAATTGTAACACTAATAGGTATATAACTCAAAAGTCTCAAATACT